GTGAGGGGCTGATGGCTGTTTTCAGACTGACCAAGCCCCCCAGTGACTGAAGCTCCCAGCCTTTCCTTTTTTTGTTTTGTTTTTTATTCACTCCAGCTCCATGGCCATGGCAACTGGAAGCAGGTATCTGGGGTTTATTTGCCTTCTATAATTGAAACTTTGTTGCCTTGAGAGGAGGCAGCAGCTGTTCAGAAAGCTTGGCTTCCTCCATCATTGGGGTAACCAAGCCTCTTGCTCGCTCCAGCTCTGTGGCTGCTGGCTGCCATCTTGGTTGGGTTAATTTGCATATGCTCGCTTTGATTGGTTGGTGGGCGTGGTTTAAGGCATAGCGAAGGTACGGTCAATTTGCATGTTTGTCTATTATTAGGTAAGATTACCTCTGTGTTTTGCCCAAGCGCCATCCCCAGGTATTTTGCCCTGTTTATATAAGTGATATTCTCTCATGTGTCCCTGAGATTGTCATGAAACCCAAGTAAGCTTGGGGCAACTATGGCCATGTGTCCAACGGCTGTCACACCAGAGAACCACAGTGGATGACCAGAAGCAGTGGACAGCAGCCAAAATGTGCTCTGGGGAAAATTCCCAAAGGAATTCACAAATAATAAGAAAAACGCTGAGAATATTTCCTAATATCAACAATATATTCTATACGTATTATTCAGAGCAGAGTAGATTTGACTCAGACGTAATTGCAGATTCATTTGCTCACCACTGTGGGTAATTTTCCGATTTCATAGTGAGAACCTTTTCCGTGTGCTTTCACTCTCACACATTTTAGGAGCTTCCAGTTTGCTCTCACGCTTTTGTGATACTTTGGCTGCCTCTATTTTAAGTTCCAGAGATTCTCAGAACTTATAGACTTGCTCTGTATTAAATTGTATAAAATCTGAATCCAGTTACAACTTTGAGGTATCCATCTATTATAGATAATCAATCTTTCTTTCTTTCTTTCTTTCTTTCTTTCTTTCTTTCTTTCTTTCTTTCTTTCTTTCTTTCTAATATTCCTCTTTGGACTTTGATTGTTAGTATGCTTTTTACTGTTAGTTATTTCTTATATCAGCATGATAGTTTTATTTTCAAATCTTATTTTTAAACTGATACTAGAGACCCGGTGCATGAAATTCATGCACTCGGGGGTGGGGGTTCCCCTCAGCCCCGCCTGAGTCCTCTCACAGTCCAGGAATCCTTGAGGGGTGTCCCGCCACTGCCACTGCACTTGCCAGCCGTGAGCCTGGCTTCTGGCTGAGCATCGCTCCCTCTGTGGGAGCGCACTGACCACCCAGGGCCATCTCCTGCATTGAGTGTCTGCCCCCTGGTGGTCAGTGTGCATCATAGCAACCTGTCGTTCCACCGTTTGGTTGATTTGCATATTAGCCTTTTATTATATAAGACTAGAGGCCC